CTAATGAATGTTGACTGTCTCGTTCAAATTTTTTCACTGGTAATCGAATGTTTTTCATCTTATTTTTTTCGTTCTCCTCTCTTAACAAGGGTCGGAGTTTATCCGTTAAGCTAGCTGCGTTCGGAATAAACTTAGATAGATGGTTAATACTACCCATGAAAGATCTAAGTTGTTTCCAAGACTTAGGTGGTTGAATGTTTGATATTGCTTCTGTTTTCGTGATTCAAGAAAAACAGTGCGCTAGATTTTATAAAGAAGTTTGCCGCAGAATAATTTCCTTATGATTTTTCTGAAATTAATAGCGATGAAAAGAATTGATACTAATGCTAAACACCAAGGCCAAGTTGGAACCCATGAGCAAACTGACTCTCTGAGTTCTCCGTTTTTTTGTTTCCCAATCAGAATATCTCTGTAGTTGATTCTATCTATTACACCCTTGTGCTTATAAAATTTATACAGGTGTCTTACTCGGAATCGAATAACGTAAGCTGTTTGATAGCTTTTCTTCTCAAAATTGATTTATTTTATCTGCATATATATTATGTTGCATTAAAATAGTTTTCTTGCGTTTAGTCTTCGTGGAATTTATTTTCAGCCCTTTCTGAGTCGTAAAAAACAATTGTTCTAAGAGAAATACAAACATTTTTGTGCTGGAACTGTTTTTATCCAAATCCAGTCAAGCAATTGTTTGGTTGTTTCTTCGACGAAACTCAGAAGACAACTTACCAGAGGATTTTTAATCGAATAAAAAAATTCAAGCTTTCAAAAAAGTGTCTGCTTTTTTAGCTTTTGGATTATGAATTTTTATGTCTTTGGAGCTGACAAAAGTTTAGGAAGACACCTGGGCATTCGACCAAATTCAACTAAAGAGAACTAAGCAACCGACTGAAAAATCTACTCTGTCGCAAGTTGGAGTTTTGCACGCTTGCGATACAATAAAACTTTGCGTTTGGGATAGTGAATTGAAAACAAAAAAGGAAGTCAGTTTTTTTTGAAAACCCAAACTGGACAATTACTTGGAAACATAACTTGAAAAAAGTTTAACTCCAAACAAACATCACCAACAAAAATTTTAAGAAGTTTTGCTTTAGATTATGTTCATCCATTGGGAAACATATACCGATAAACAACTAAGGCAACAAAAGTCAGCCCGACCAATGTTGAAGCGAAAACAAAACTGTTATCGTGAAAAACATTTGAGCTTTTTCCTCTCTAAACTACACAGCATTGGTTGACTAAGTCATTATAACCTGAACCAAAACTATTTAACCGAAAAAAAATGAAAACTAAATAAATAAAATGAAGATTATCAAAATCAGACTTACTTGGTAAAATTAAGAACAAGAGAACTTTTATTTATGGTAAAAACTGTAGAACTGTTCAGCTCAAAAAGAAGTCCATATTTGAAAAACAAGCCAATAAAGTACCGTAACAGCTTAAAAATCGCTGAAGAAACTTACGAATCTAGGACAGAAATCACGAATCCTTGTGATCCAAGTCAATAATTTATTTTTTTTTCTAGACATGTACTCGAAAAAAAAAACATAATACTTGAACTGAACGTTGGTAGTTTTATGTAATTTTTAAGTACAGCATTTCAGCTATCTGCACTTCAAATTTTCTATTTTCACCAAATTAACCATTCTGTGGAAACTGATGTAAATTTTTAACAAAAATTCAAATTTAAAACACCTGGGCAATCGACTAGAAATATCTGAAACGCTTAAGAAATTATGTGCTTTTACATTTAAAAAACTTCATGAATTTTAATACGAATTCTCAAAATACCTGTTTAGTGCATAGGCTCCCGTGGTTACATTTGAACAGAATGCTATAAAAACTTTAAAAAACATCAAAATTGGAGTGTTTTTGAACGTAAATAGAACTAAAAGCCTTCTGGTTGATATTTCATTTCCAAAAAAAAGGCTAAAAATAGATGATTTCTTTTTCAGACCAGGGTGTGCGTACTTCCGTTTTTTAGAATTAAATAGCGAAGGATGGATGAAACCAGGGGCGGATTTAGGCGGGGGAGGGAAGAGCGGACCCCCCCCCCCCCCCCCCATCAGGGATTCCACCCCCTGCCGACCCAAAGGGTCCCCCCTTTGGTACTTTTTACGAAACCCATTTTTGGCCGACTGACCTTAAAATTTTTCGAAAGGCGCTTTTGGCGGCAATATATAATAACTTTGAGGGGGAGCGCACGCCAAAAAACGCGATTTTTTTTGTCAAAATTTTCAAAAAAGTGCCCAAAAACGGCTTTTTTGACCTGTTTTTTCAAAAAATTGCTTGCCTGTTGCGCAGAAAGTTTGGCAAAAACAGCGTCTTTTTAGTGTTTTAGGAGAGCTCGTAAAATCAATTTGGTCGACTTAAAAAAACCGAACATTTTTTGAAAATCCGAATCCACCCCCCCCCCCCCCCCCTCGAGAAAACCCTAGATCCGCCCGTGGATGAAACTGAAACTCTACACTTGGAAAATTTTGTATTTTTACATAGAACACTTGAAATTTCATTGGCTCTCGTGGTTTTTTTACAAGTTTTATTTCACACAAAAACTGGACGATAAAAGGTCTCAATTTCGAAAAAATTAACAATAAAAAGTTTTTAATGGATTGATATCAATAAATCAAATACGATTGAATGTGCACCGAGGTATCTAGATTCTTTTCAGCATCTATTTCAACAACCAGCATGAGTGTTGGAAATTGCCAGGTGATCTAACTTGATTGAAAATGTCTGTTTTTGGATGACTTCAGAGCCCAAAAATGCTGCTGGCATTGCGAATGTACTCGGTGTAATTATTGAACAGGTTCAGTTGGATGTTTCGGTGCAGCTGCACAAACTCGAACAACTCCAAGTCGAATTTGTTCAGCTCCATTACCAACTGTCTCTCTTCTGACGTCATTTGGTGGCAGTACTTTTTGGTCTGCATGCGGAAGTGGGACAGGTACAATCCCAGGTTGAACCCAAACCTTCCAGTTTTCATCCAATGAAGTCCAGTGATTTCTTCTTTTTCCCAACTTGAATGCATAAATGCGATGTTTACAATTTTAAGAAAATAATGTTACGCGAAGAATCTTTCGAGAGGGGGCGGCTATTTTTGGCGAAAACTATATTAGGCGAAAATAAAAGTTTTAAAGTTAGGCGAAAATTTGATTAAAAAAGAGTACATTTTAGAAGAAACTGTATGTGAGTACTAACGCATTTCCTTGACATACAAAACGCACGTGCTGCGAGCTTGCCAACAGAGGGTAGGACTCTTTACGAATATAACAGCCGGTTATCCCACTGGCGACATTGAACCAACAAACGGCTTTGTACTCTTTAACCGCTTCTTGTTAGTGTCGCCTGGATAAATAGAGGGATTTTTGCTAAAATATTCACTCTTATTATCAAAATTTTCGCCTAAATTTAACACTTTTATCTTTTATTTATGCTTTATATCAGGGGGTATTTTCTCGAGGGGGGTATTTTCAAAAATTTTCGAAAATTTTGTCTGCCTTTTTTTTTAGGTCGACCGATCAACCGAATTGTTTTTCCGAGCTCTCCCAAAGCACTAAAAAGACCCTGTTTTAGTTAAATTTTTGGCGCTGCAGGCTCCAATTTTAAAAAACAGGCCAAAAAACGCTTTGTACTATGGAAAAATAGTACAAAGCGGGGACCCTTTGGGTCGGCAGGGGGTCGAATTCCTAAAGGGGAGACGTCAGCCCCCCTCCGCTTCCCCCTAAATCTGCCCCTGCTTTATATAGTTTTCTTCTAATATATACAGCCCCCTTTCGAGAGTAGTTGCAAAACCAATCCAATGTTGTTCAATTATCTTACTGTTTCTCAGATGGTTTAATAAAAATAGGGTCTTCTTCTAAGCAAATTGACTAAAAAGAGAAGTTTTGAGCAAAGTTAGGTAGCAATAAATTGATATACGTGAGAAGGGTAAGAAGAAATAACTATAACCCAGAGTGTGTTTTTCTACGCAATTTTAGGTAGCTCAAAGCAACCTCGCGAAGTTTTAGCATACTAAAAATCTTTCAGTTCACATTTCAATTCCAAAAAGATGTTTGAACATCGATTTCTTTTTTAGGCCAATGTCTTTTCATTTTGACAAAAACACTTCATTTTATTTTTAGCAATGTGCGAATAACTTTGAAAAAAAATTAAAAAGATTAATTGTTTTTGTTGTTTTTTCTACACCCCCCCCCCCCCCCACCAACAAAAAAATGAAAATGTTTAAACATAAAATCTTGGTGGAGTTTTTGCGCTAAAATTTGTGAAATCTTTTCAAAAAAGGCTTCCTGAGACTTTTTTTGATATATCTTGACGACAAAAGGCTATTAAAACAAATTAAAGATTGTTCGGCCAAAAGTGATTATAGTAAAATAGTCTTAAGAAGGTGACCCTTTCTGTAACGAGGGCGTCAAATTCCTGAAAAGAAGGTCGTCGGCGTCCAAAAAATTTATGCTAATTTATGCTAATTGTATCCTAATCAAGAAATCACTGAACCGTAGTAAGTTGTTATTCGTTGCATCGGGAAAAAATCGTTGGCTAATAGTGTTGAAATCTTCCCTCATGTTTTCGTAGAAAGCGACGAAGTCCACTTTGTTCACGACATTGTCCTTCGCCTTTTTCAGGGCCTCCCGAGTTAATGCGTCTGAATTGGACCCCTTCGAATGGCTCTTTTCCTCTTTTCCTCTCAAACAGAACTTTGAGAAAAATGAAACACGCCGTTTCCTATCAAAAAGAATGGCTTTGTCGAAATGTAACCCAAGTTCAGATATCTTCATACAATAAAACACTCCATTTTGTTGGAAAAAAGGTTCAGGTGAAATAACATTATGAGCAGTGTGAAATTGAACCTGTAAAAAGCTGATATTCGTTCTTCTGGTGTTCAAAACCGCACTAAAAAAGTGAATCAAAAGAAGTGAAAAACTCATGTGAACAAAAACATTTCTTAATTGTGTCCATGAAGTGTTAGCATGAGATGAGCTGATAGGTTTTTACTATTCTAACCAGCTTTCACAAAACTACATAATAAAATTTAAACTCGAGAGGATTTTTTGTGAAAAAGAGCCCTTTAAGTTAACTGCAGAAGCCAGTTGCCACGTCATGTAGTTCCTCGTCAGCATTCGGAGTCTGTGGTCTTTGGCGGATAAGAACTTCGTCAGAGTAATATCTGTTGAAACAGTAAAATGATTCCATTTGATAATTCTCTCTTTTGTCTGCCTGATTGCATCCTAAGATGAGTCTGGTGAAATTTCGTGACCTTCATTTTTTGAGCAGTCTATTTCCAAAAAAAGTACAAAAACAGAACAGAAAAGTAAAAAGTCTAAGAATCTTACAGAATTGATAACGTTTTAAACACAGCAAAACAAAACAACTTCATGAAGTTAGTTTTTAACCTCTTTTTGAGTCTCGTTTGTCGGACAAAATGAGATGGGACTGGATTGCTATCTAATAGGGTCATTTCCGAAAAAGTACACTGTATGTTTGTCACGCCATACTTTTTTCTATTTTCAGCCAGAATGGCTCTTTCAACTACTGAGTCCTATAGTGAAGTTAAGCTTTTTGTAATCTCTAAGGTCTCAATAGATCGTACAAATTCTAAAAATTGAGATTGGTTAGAAATAATTTTGTTCTGTATGTTTTCAAATTGGTATCTGTGAATTCGTCAGGTTTTACTAAAAGTAAAGAAAGTGTTTTTAAGCAAACGATATAAAGCAAGAGGCATTAATATAAATGAAATTTTTAAACCAGAAAATAAGAAACTTTAAGGAGTAGATACTCCTTACTACGTTCCCGGGGGGGGGGCATGGGGCTGGGTAAGGCTGTAGTGTTGGCTAATAAGGAAGATTCGTAAAAGCACAGTATGCCTTGAAGTAAAGGAAAAACGCCAGATGTAACCAAAAATCAGAATTGTTCAAAAGGCTCTAAAATGTTGCCTTGTACTCACTACAATCAGTTGGCAGCCCGAATGTAGCAAGTCTGTTGCACGTTTTAAGCGAGTAGTCCCCGTCATTGGTGAGGAACTTGAACAGACTTCCTATTCGCTCACAGGGGTGTCTAATAATGGTGAACACTTTGGTAGAAGTCTTCTGTGGGTCGAACTGTTCCAGGTATTGTTCTATGAGTTGGAAACCGAAGAAGCCTTTCACCACCCGCACCCACCCTTCCTTCCAATCGCACACCACTGACTGCAAACAAAAGACGTGAATCAATTTGACAAATCGCAATCAAACATTTCTAAAACAAAACGCCAGATAAAATTTCGTCCTCTATTTTCACCGGACAATTTTTTTGCCAAACGAATTGAGAGAACAAAGCTCGTCAAACAGACACCGTTAGCAGACAAACTTAAGAGGGAAGCTTTTCAGATAAGTGTTTGAATCGCCCGAGATTAACCGACTCCTGATTAAGTTTTCCGTTTTTGTCATTGTGGGGTTGCCTCTCAAAAGTGCACCCAAAGACAAAGTTGTTCTTCACCTTCGCTGGTTGCATTGCAACAAAAAACCATGTGACACCCCGTAGTGGACTTTGAAAGGGATCAATCGCTCTTATCGCCGCACATTTAGAACATGACTTGCCCTTTTGTCTTCTAACTTACCTTCATTTGGCCGTCGAATAATTGCTGTACTTTTTCCAGGAACGTCTTAAGGTTTTAAAGTTAATTGAAAACTTAGGCTTTAGAAGGCGGAAGGATCTTTTGCTTCATAATGGTAGTTTTCCTAATTAAGACATTGTATTTTCAAAATCAATAGGCACTGAGTACTTACTTTTACAGAGCAATTTTTGTGAGATGATTTCCCAAGTTGGAGCTGCAGATAAAGACTAGGATTGAAGGGCGCATACACTTTTGACTCCCATGTGCTGCACAGTCGGACCAATTTAAATTCTGTCAAATCATTATAGATCTCAAGAATTCACCGCTCTCGCCACTCAAAGAGCGCATATTTTTGATCAGCAACTTCCGCAAGTTTACCGAAAGGGGACTTTTTTTCTTTTGTCCAAAGTGGGTCTATGTTTTGCTGTTTCAGAAGAGATAAGCATTTTTTCCACAGGAGCGAAAATGTTTTACAAATTTTTTGAAAAAAAGTCTTTCGGAATAAATAACTATGTGTAAATATAGCGTTAATAAGTTAATAAGAGCACTTTAAAAATTTTTAAAAAAATTGAGTTTGGAGAGAAAACAAAACGCGCATCATTCAATTTCCGAACATGGAAGCGCCTAAATAGCATGCTCGATATATAGTTTGCGTCTTGCCTATATCATTCAACGAACCTGATTGTAAGAAGAGTTCTGTGCGCTTATGACGATAGTAAAAGCATTGTCCAATTTTTTGGGTTTCACACTTGCGTTTGCTTATCCGTATTCCATTCTCTTGTGGATTCGTTTGAATAGATTTTTGTTGGCCGATTTTCCTCTTTATAATTGTTCCAAAGGTGATTTCAGTTTGTTTCTGTTTTTTTTTTTGTATAAGATTCGGTTGAATAATATGGTTTTGGAAAATTATGGTTTTGACCATGGATTGTTTTCAAGAAACACGTAGAAGTTGCCTTTGTCGCAAAAGATGCTGCATTTAGATTTCTGCTGTTAGCTTCAATTGAGTTTTCCCGCTGAAACTAAGCGTGATTGACAAAAAAGGCATAATTCTAAGTATAATATGTGAATTTAATGTCTGTGTATGCAGTGTTTTTGCTCTGTTGTTGTGTATTTTTTGCTAGTTACAAACTCCACTGCGGTAGGACTTTTCGGAGGAATCGATTGGATTTTGAGGATTCAGAGGAATCAAAAGGTTTTGCCTGAAATGGATATTAATTTATATAAAAGATCGTAAACAAAAGGTCAAAGAAGCCTGTCAGCCAGAGAATTTTTTTTTAAATGTATGGGGTTTCACAGGGATCGATTTTGGGTCCGATTTTTTCACAATGTTTATAACGCCCATAGGACACTTCTTTAAATCTTTAAACTTGGAGTATCAGGCATTCGCCGATGACACATTAATGTTTATAAACTTTGATACACTGTCGTGCTTCGGAAACATTACAGAAAGAATTCAAAATTACAGCAAGAATTCAGCGCATTGAAGCTCAAAATCAACCCTGATAAGTCAGAAAATTCTAGCGAAATCGAAAAAAATACCCTAGATCATAGATCTATAGCGCTCAATGGAACAGAAGTGAAGTATGTTCATGAACTCAAAACCCTAGGTATCAAAATTGAATCAAGTCTACCATTTTCATCAAAAATCAATTCAATATGTAATCACTGTTACTTCAAACTAAGACAAGTATGCAGAGTTAAGTTTTACTTAAGCTTCGAAAACCGAATATTCCTGTTCAAAACTTTGCGTTTGCTTATCCGCCTTGACCGCCTTGACCGCCTTGACCGCCTTGACCGCCGTAGACCGCCTTGACTTCGGTAATGTCATTTTGAATGGCATCACTGAAATCATTGTAGTCAAATTCCAGCGTGTTCAAATGCAGCAAGTGGATTCATCTTCGAATTATCCAAATTTGGATCCTGTCGAGAATATTTGTACAGTTTGCACTGGCTGCCCGTTGTAGAAAGGCTTACCATTAATGCGTTATAAAGTTTTTTACGGTTTACCAGTTCCAGGCTATTTGAAGAATATTACAGTCTTAAGCCATCAGGAGACACTAGAAAAATTGAAAAACTGCAAATTTAATTCAAAAAATGCAAAATAGCTTTTGGAAACAGAGCACTTTCAGCAAAAGAGCCGCTTCAGTGGAACAACCTACCAACTGAGTTAAAGGAGATCCGAGATAAAACGTTCTTCAGACAGAGGCTCAAAACTTGTCTTATTGGATCAGTTTATCACCTAGACTAATTTTCAGGTCTGAAAAGAATGCCAAACAGAAAAGCCGGAAGAATTGAAGCGATAAATTCTATGGTCCGCAAACTAAACTGTATCGTTCTAATGAAGCATAGGCCATACCCCAAAATTATCGAGATCTCAGTACCCAAGAGATGTCCGAATTGCGTTCTTGGTTTCTCTCGTATTTATGCTGTTTAGTCGCGCAATACTCGCACTATCTCATGCTCGGGTGGCACTATTGCCACCATGTGCACTGGAAAGGTCATGCATGAACTGAAGCTCAGGATCATTCAAAATGTAGTAATTATGGGAGGCTTATATAGATTATGTAACAATCTGTTCAATAAGACGTCAAAACCGTTGAAGAGCACTGTAGTGGTTTCTGATGAATTGCATTATTTAATCATAGTCCTAGAGTTCAATGGTTTTTGAAATTATGGAACTTATTATTTGAAAAGGAAAATACGCAACCGTGAGTAAAGTCAATGACTGCTACAAAGATATCGCCAGAGGGCTAAGAGTGCCATATTTCAGCCGTCAGAGGAAAACATCTGAATCTACCCTAATCTGTCCCGAACAAGGGAGCTAGCGGCTGATTCTGAAATTTTTTTCCAGAAAAGCGAGCGAAATTTACGAGTTTTTAGAATGTAAACAGGTCCAGACCGAAGACTTATCATCAAGAATAACACGTCACGTTCTCCAGAGCAGAAGTGCATCCGCTAAACCCAGCTTAGCGTCGAAGATTGAATTAAGAGAACCAGATAATGGGTTGAAGATCTCAACTTACAGCTGGGTCCAGATTAGGGCCGAAGAATTTCCTTATATGGAACCACACCTGAGCGCAAAAGAGGTGGGTAAATTAAAACTCTGATGATGATGATGGATTGTTTTGATTCGGCCTTTATAGATTTCTTAATATCGGGCAATTCAAGATGCCTTTTTCTTTTCTTCGCTTTGAAAATCTGAAATATAGCTATGTGCAGCAGCGGATTTAGGAGGGGGGAGGGGGGCCGACGCTTCATTTCAGGAATTCGACCCCCTGCCGACCCAAAAGGTCTTCCTTTGTACTGTTTGAGATATCCACTTTTGGACGACTGACTTTCAAATTTTTCTGATGGGCAATATCCAAAAAGTGCCCAAAAACTCCTTTTTTGGCCTGTTTTTTGAAAAAACTGCCATCGGCGCAGAAACTTTGGTCAATATAAGGTCTCTAGAGTGATTTGGGAGAGCTCAGAAAATCAATTTTGTCGACCAAAAAAAATAAAAAGGTTGAGAAAATTTTTTTGAGAATCAGCCCCCCACCTATCGAGAAATTCCTAGATCCGCGTCTAGCTGCGTTTTAACGCCGACAGTTTTTGATGTTCAGGCGCGAATCAATATTTTGGATTTTCTCGAGGGAGGGAGGCGGATGTGCACAAGTTTGCGAAACTTTTGTCGAACTTTTTTTTCCAGGTTGCTGGCCAATTTGATTTTTGAGCTTTCTCAAAACACTATGAAGGCCTTGCTCTGGTGAATACTTCTGCGCCGCAATTTTAATTTCTGAAAATTTTTTGAAAAAGCTGGCTAAAATTAAAAGGTTAGACACCTTTTAGAAGACGCCTCTTAGAAAATTTTACGGCGAGTTAGCCAAAAGTGAATGTCATAAAATAGAACCAAAAGGAGGACCCGTTGGGTTGTCAGAGGGTCGAATTCCTACAGAGAGGGAAGCCCCCGCCACCAGAGTAGGCGGAGAATTGGGAGAGGGAAGCCCGTTCACTTGAGCAAAAGAAAGTCCCCCCCCCCCACCCCCAACCCCCACCCACTAAGTTCACTAGTGCTGATTTTAGTTGGCAGTGGTGTGGTGACTCAGACCATTGCGAGGTTGCTGTAAACTATTGGGGCTATTTGCTTGTCGGTTAAATTGGTCCCTGTAGTCGATCAGCCGATCATTTTCATCTCCGATCAAGGTAGTCTGAGTGGAATCCGCCGTTGTCCTGGGAATATGCAGCCACAGGATTTTGTCGCCCTCTTGCGGCAACTGCACTTTCGTACTTTCCAGATATTCCAGAAGCGAAGATTTCCGGATGGCAAACTGGACGTCTTCCACTCTTTCAGCTACTGTCCTTCTCCGGAATACGTGGAGGAGGTAGCAAGCAGGTAGCAGATGGACTAGAATAACTGAAAGCAATAACACATTTTTTTTTAACTTCAGCTTCCGCAGTAAAATTGAACAAATTTTGGTCGCGGGAAACTGAACCATTTTTTTGTAATCTGAATGCAAGCTCTATTTTCAACTGATCAACTTTTTAATGATAAACTGCAGAAAAAACGAGCTTGTTATTAACGTCGTTTTACATACTAAGTTATTATTTACCAATACGTGTTTTGTCTTAAACTGCTATAGTGTGTGTCAACTAAACTCTCGCTGCAGAACACAGCTATGCATAAACTTTGAGCAAAAAGTAAAGTCTATCCGAACTACAAAAACTCTTTGAGGGGCGGTTTTTTTATTTAGTCAATTTTTAGTAGTTATCACCAGAAAGAATTTTTTTTTAGCTGGAACTCAAATAAAAAAAAGATAATTCTTCTGTGATTTTTTTGAAAAAAAAAAACATTATAATCGTTTGAATTTGGGACTACTTCGATAACTATAAATAAAATTGGGATAAATAACTTATTTTGTTAAACTGAAACGTCAGCAGCAAAATAAAACCTTCCAAATTGAAGTGATGCAAACAATTTGCTCTTATTAATACGTTACCATGCGACTTGGTACTTCACAAGACCTGAACGTTCTAACTGCCATCTATCGTTGATTGTCAACTTTTTGTTTTAAAAACTCTTGTAAAATGTTTTAAGGAAAAGATAAAACCCTTCAAAAATTTCTGAAGTTTTGTATTTGTTATCCCCCAGGAGCTACTTGGGGGGAAATAATAAAAACAAAGTTTTTAAAATATATTTAAGAATTCTTCATTTCTTTGGAACAAAATACTAAATTTTTGTAAAGTTGGCGATCAACGATTGATGGCAGTTGGAATGTTCAAGTCTTTGCCCTGCCAAACGAACAATCCTGTTTGAAAAAAGTAGTTGTCAAAAAATGACGACTTGTTGTAAATGGATGGTTGAGTGAACAAGATACTGCAGCATTTTCAACCTAAAAGAAGCCATTTGATAATAATTTGGTGAAAAAATGACCTGTCAACTGAACAAAAAACGTTTCCTAATCAATTTTAAAGCCAATTTATTGTTCCGACTTTCGAAGAAAGTGAGGAATATACATGCCTGCTGTGGTTTTCTTGGGTCAGACCAAGTTTAAAAAGATGAAAGCATATGGATTTCAATCCGGATATGTGAGGAGTTCCAGTCGATTATGCTTGCACTAGACTAATATCGGTTAGCAAGGTTGTTCACATAACTTTAATAGTTTCAATACGCTAAATTTTTATGCGTGGCAAATCATCCGAACTCATAATTGTTCCAAATTGGAATGAGGTCATCTTATATTTATCAAAAAAGTTACATTCAACTATTAGCAATTGCATTTGACTTAAATGATTTAAATTGATATTAATTGTAAGTCACAAGCCGACAATTAAGTTTTTTATTAAAAAAAAGGGTTGATGTGAAACTACAAAACTTACAACCAAAGTGTTTTGAAAAGCAAATTTTAAGTTGTTCAGTTGAACTGAAACTTAACTCTAAAAAACGTTATGAACAACAAAAGAAAGATAAACTAAAGAACAATTATTTGAGTAAAACGACAGCGAGTATATAACAAATAAGCTTTTTTTCAAAATAATTTTCCATATCTATATGAACTGAAAAATCCCTCCGTCATTTGCCAGTTGTATCTTCATCAGCTAGGACCTTCCTTACTTGCCAAAATATCTATTTCAATTTGCAGCCAAGCATGCCTTTTGATAAAATTATCTACTTTCTACATTAATTCAGTCAGTTGTGTTTTTTAAGAACGCAAACTTTTGCACTGAACTTGAGAATTCTGCCAACTGTCGATAGTTAAAACTTGCAAAAAAAGGTTTGTCTCGGCTCTCTCGGTCAATTTCAGAGTGAAAACTAATATCACAAACGCACAGATCAAAAGCGAACTCCGAATCAAATTTTCATCGCAGCAGCTAGCTTCAGGCTGTGGAAAACGCTAATTCGCTACTTGAATTAAGATGTAAAGAAAGAAACAACTGTTTATAATATAGACAATTTTTTTAGGTGAAATCCGAAGGTGTCAAACAATCCGAAGGCCAACCACCTGCCAAAGATGTCTATCAATAAAATGAAATGAAAAGATTGACAAAAGGACCTATCAAGAACTAAATGGACTTAGATAACTGATTTAGCACTATGACATACCCTCTTGTAAAAAGTAAATAAACTGCACTGGCATTGATTTGCTAAATTTAAGTTACAAGATGAAAAATTTTTAAACACAAAGGTTAGTCCGGTCCCGCCGATCCTAGCGCTAAGGTAGGGGCACTGACTGTTTAACATACTATGTTTTCCGATAACTATAGCTGCGTTTTCAGTTCATCTTCTAAAAATTTTATACGTCAATCCGCTCCGTTTACTCATTTACTTTGTCCTGAATTCAGCCTCGATGTATATGGTCAATCATGACCCTGCCCATTTTCGTCACCGCAGTTCTCTTCCTGTTGTTTTTTCTTGACCCCGTATCACTTTCCGAATCTTGGCTCGAATATGAGACTAGCCGTTGTTCGCTCGCTTTTTCTTTTCGCACGCCGTCGGTACTATTTCCGGATCTGCATCCGGTACGTCGTCTTCTTCGCCGACTATTGCTCCCGTCCCCGTCGTTTTTCTAGGTTTTCTGCTCTCCTTCCTCGTCGCCGACGTACTTGCCTCCTCTTCCTGTTCCACTGCCGTTTGCTCTGTAGTCGCTCGCTTCGTCCTCAGCTTGATTCTGCCTGTATGTCACGTAACGATGCCAATGGCAGTTTACCGCCGATTCCCCTTGTAGCCAACGGTTGGCTATAGCTGTCAGACTCTGACTCCTGTGGTGCTTGCTCACCTACGTTCTTGCTCCGCTTCGTTTCCCTCCGATGCACAATTTTGCCCGCTTTTTCGATTCCGCAATCGCCATTTTCTTGCGTATTTCCGCCGGCGTTGGTGGCTTTGGGAGCCTTGAAGTTCGTTTTTTCGGATTAGTGCAGTGGCCTTCCGTATTGCGACCCCGGATTTCCTAACCAACGTACCATGGTTCATTTGAAGTGTATGCGTACTTCCCGCAAAAATTTTGGTATTCAACTTTCTGTACCTGCTTAAATGCCGGTCTCCAGTGCGCTGGAATACTATGCGGGATGGTCCCGCTTCGTCGCACGGTCCTTCAAAAGATGTAGCCGTCTGCTAATCTGCCTGAGTTAGTGCCTGCGGTGTTGTTAAGATCAGTGCATGATTTTGTCTTGCGTCCCCCTATACTCGTTGTCTGATCTCATGCCCCAGTTAGTGTCCGCCGGCTTGGGCATTTGCTGGGCTTTGGCATCTTGTTTGTCAAAACACGCAGATTTAGATTTTAGAACATCCAACCAATTCAAGTTTCTGAGAGAGGGCTTTTTAGTTAGGTTTCGAAGTACGGTGTTCGCTTCCCTGCCGTGATGTGCCTCGAATGGCGTTATTTTCAGTGTCGCCTTTGTTGAAAATCTCAATGCGCGTAGTGTTCTCTCCACCATTTTCTCCAATGGTTCCGGTTGTTTCTCCCGAGCGCATGTTAAAATGGAGTTTTTCAAACTCCCGATTGCTCTTTCTACGAAACCGGTGACCCGGAGATCGTTTAGAGGCGACTGCACAATTTCAACGCCTTCAGCATTACAAAAAGCTTTGACATTTTTCGACGTGAAATTCTTCCCTTGCTCGACATGGATCCTTCTTGGCATCCCATGATTATTTTTACATTGTTTGAGAAATTTTAGTATTTTGTTCGAACGATTTGTGTTGCATACCATTGCAGATGGCCATCTTGAAAATCTATCAACCGCTACTATCAAATTTTTTTTGATTCCAGCAGGTAATTTATGGGCCCCCAAAATCCAGCTGAACGGCCTCATTCGGCTCTTTAGGTTCAGGTATTTTAGCTAGGTTTCCTTCAGAACACATAGGTTTTAAATTCTTACCCGCGAGAATGCACTCCTGGCAAATTTCCGCCATGTTAGCGACGTTTCTATGGATGTGAGGATACCAAATATCCGTCGCCGCCGCAAACATATTACTTTTTCCATGGTGGTAGTAGAGTAATTGATCAATTATGGCTTTATGTAACGAATTTGGAATAACTAATTTATCGTCCATCCATAGGCAATTTTCTTTAATGTGAAAGTTATTTACAAACTGAGCGTAATATCGGTTCAAAGCATAGATTTTTGATACAGTTTTCGGGTCCTTTGATTTAATTAGTTGATAAATAGCTTGAAGTTGAGGGTCTGTGGAATATTGCGATTCAATGAAACGAAGGTCAAATAACTCATGTATGCAGTAGATTTGGAAACAACTTTACAATTTTGAGGAATTACAGACATAATAGTAGTAGCTGGGTTAACCGTTGGAAATATTTCACGCGGAAATTTCGATGGAATTGATAGGATAGTGTTCGATTTAGTATTGTTTGTCTCTGTTGTGCTGGCATTCAGATTTCCTTCTCCTCTGTTAATTCTTCCACTTCATCCTCACTGCTTGTTATACTTGGGTGTCGTTCTAGGAGTTTTTGAACTTTCCGCATTGATTTGTCCATAATTGAATGATTAGATTTGTTCTATAAATAGAATTTGACTGTGTGTTCTTGTAAGTAGTAATAGCTCCAAGTAATCTATTTTTAGACTCGAGTGACCGTCGGCATGGCTTGTCACATGACCGGTGGCGTATGCAAATCTCTGCATTCTTACTGGCTGTCTTGTTGTAGCATGATTTTTTGCCCTCTACCGTCGGCTTTCTTTTTCAAAATTTGCATATTTTATTGCCATTGGCTAATTTCCGGTTTGGGGTTTTAATATGATTGCATTTACACTTGTCGGGCTTTTTGCAAAATTGATTTTGCATCCGCGGGCGCTTTATACTGTCGTATGCTGATACGGATTTTGCTTCGCTGTTCGGGTGTCTTGATAGATAATCCGCTAGCCCAATTTTGCCCCTGGCATATGTTCTACTTCGAAGTCGAACGGAATTAGTCTATCAGGCCATCTTATTAACCGACTGAATATCGTCTTATTCTTCTTGTTATTTCCGTTTAAGAGCAATACTAGCGCTTCATGATCCATTACTGCTTGTAATTTTCGCCTCAACACGTAGTTCCGAAAATATTCCGCTCCCCACACAACCGCGAGCATTTCTAAATCTTCAGTTGAATATTTG